TTGCATTTATGATTTGCCAGTAGCAATATGGTGGCGCACCAATGACAATAATGTATTCTTTACAGTACGTTCATCTGCTGAAACTGCTGTAACATGAATTAATTTTATGCTAGTGGTACGCTTTAAAGTATAGCCTATATATGAAATGATGATGCGTATACCAACAATAACAAGAAAATCAACAATAAAATAATTTAGTATTTTTTTAAAATAGCAATAGCAGAAGAAAACAAACTATTAGTGATTACAAAACATTTAGTCAAATAGCTCGCTGTGATAGATAAGCAGACTTGGGCTAGTAATCTGTGTGTACTTTTTTTAAATCTTTTGTTATGAAAATAAAGCTCTCTGGGACTTATTCATTACAGTACTTTAATAATTGGTCAAGCTGATGAAACGTCTCCTAATAGCCCGCAGTCACGTACAGAAACATTTCTTACAAGGACAGGCTACAGAAGTCAAGACAACATTTAACTCTTCATCCAATGTAAAATCTTTTTACTAAATGTAATCTCTTTTAAGAGTTTTCTAAACCTGCGTGCTGCTGTGTGAACAGAGGTTGAGTGATCAGGAAGCAGCTCCAGTGATCTGCTTCCTGTTAACACAAGTCTCTGCTCTGACTAACTGCTCCAGAGTGACCACCGCACTCTCCTGGAGAAAACCTAGAGCCTGACCAATATGGAGTTTTTCTATTTATAGGGCTGCACAATTTGGAGTAGATATGGATACCGAAACCTGTTATTAGACGGGCCCTGGGACTTAATTATTTGAGATTGTAGTATTGATAAGCTCAGACTTTAACGGTTCTGCTTTAGATACAAGAGAAATTAAGAAAATACATTTCCTGTTTATATTTATCGCTACATAAACGTGTTATCTAAAAACCATGGTAAAATTCCCAACATTTAATAATTCCATACACATTTTAATTACTATGATAACGGGGTTCAGTTACCGCACTATTTATAAACTCAAGGCAAAACTGTCCAGCATCAACCAAAGTTAGCGACAGTCCCTCAGAAGCAGGCGTGCATTCGCAGTAAGCAACGTGCGTTTGTTTGGGTCAATGACAACATGGTGGAAGACAGCGCTGCAGAGATTTTTCGGTCACCCTGTAGTCTGGTCGTGTATTAGTTTTTATGAGAGCGCTGAGGGAAACTTGATCGAGGGCGACTGTGGCTCAGGAGGTGGAGCGGGTGGATCGGTTCTATCCCCGACTCCTCCAGGCTGCATGTCGAAGTGTCCTGAGTGTACTGAACCCCAAATTGCCCCTGGTGGCTGTTTCACCAGTGTATGAATGTGTGTGAGTGTTCTTGTAAAAACGCTACACGTTTTTCTGCTGCTTTGTGTGTCTGCAGACTCTAAACGTCCGCTGCACATTTTCAATCCAGCAGCTTTAAATTTAGTTGTAAAAGTGTCGGAACAGGAGAATCGCTGCAGACTCCTCTGTATTTACGTCAGTTGTTGGGCCCATTGCAGTTAAAATCACTTTCTTCTAAAGACTTACAGGTGCTGGTCATATAATTAGTCATCAAATCATCAAAAAGTTGATTTATTTCAGTAATTCCATTCAAAAAGTGAAACTTGGATATTAATATTCATTCATTACACAGAGACTGATACATTTCAAATGTTTATTTCATTTAATTGTGATGATTAAAACTGACAACTAATGAAAATCCCAAAATCAGTACCTCTGAAAATTAGAATATTGTGAAAAGGTTCAATATTGAAGGTGCCTGGTGCCACACTCTAATCAGCTAAATAAGGACTTTTTGATATTCTAATAATATGACCAGCACCTGTATGTAATTGTGCATCTTAGTAATTCACACATAGATGGTTTTCATACGTTTACAAAAGGTATTGGCTGTTTGCCATTTTTTTTGCATAAACAGTTTTAGTTGTAGTTTTCAATATAAAACTTGTTGAAATGGTTTCAGTGTGTGTATCAGTACATTTTAATCACATTTTTACAATACCGTGATAATACTGATAACCTGATGATGGTCGCTATAATCGTGATATAAAATTTTCATACCTTTTCATCCCTAACACACACACGTGTCTGTGATCAAGGTGAATATTTATTAACTAGTTAATGTGAATACAAGTGAAGGTAAATGGGGATATAAAGAAAATATAAACAACAATGATTAAGCAACGACAAGAATGCAATAAACAGGAGATAGAATAAAAGTAGTTTGGCTATTGTGAAAAGAATATAACTCGGAGGAAATAAGGGAAACAAATGGATGCAGGTTCTACGGCGATAACTACGTTTATAATTAGGCTATGGGTTTCAGAGCTAAAAGGGCTCTAAACCCGAAAATAAGTAAGGTCCGAGCTTATCGATACTGCTATCGAGACTAGCGGGTCTGTAACGTTATGTCTCAAGCTTTAAATCTGATTTAACTTGAAACGTGATGGATAAGAAAGCTACTATTTCTAATGTTCAAATGTGGCCGGGACTGGTTATCATCAGGCTGCTGTCTCCGCTGCTCTCTGTCGCCTCCTACACACACACATCGGCCAGGAGAGAGAGACGCCGCTCCGTCACCGTGGAGACGGTAAAGTTAAGTTAGCTCAAAACTACTCAAGTTGCCGGCAGCTTCGCTCGTTACTGTGAGTACATGCAATAAAACCTTCATGAGCAAAAAGACAATACTTTATCAGTACACCTGTCTAAGGTAAACAAAGGGTTAATTTAATCATCTCTGTTCTCAGTCGGTCCTCCTGTATGGTTTATACAAGCACAGCTAACGTTAGCTTGGCAGTTAAAAAATGTTAAAATCAAGCTAAATAGAAAAATGACTGTCTGAAGCACAGACTGGTCTGTAGTCTTAAAATCAGGCACATTGTTGTAAACTCAGCTGCTGGCTGAGACAAACCAGCCACTCCTACTTCGACCAGGTAACGTAACCTGCATGCAGTGAATAACAGCAGAGGAGGAGGAGGAATGATACAGACTTGAGTTTTATTTATTCTTTCTAAACGTCACTCACTATTGTGATGTCAGATATTGAGTTTATATATAGTAGGGCTGTGGCGATTCGTTGACTTAATCGGTTACGTAAATACACATCACTGCATCCGGTGTGGGATTCTCCCGGACAAGCTTGAGCTACAGCACCGCGCCTTTGACCGTCTAAAGCAAAAACACGTGAAACGAAAGTATCACACAGCACCGCAAATATTGTGGGGTTTTTGTTATTGTTGTATTTTTATTTTTGCTTTCTGTCGTCACACAAGCACGGCACATCATCAGGACGAGGACACGTAGTATAAATTCATTGCCTTCATGTTAAATGTAATTTCTGCCCCGCTGCTGTCATGGTAACGTAACATTACACCGCGAGTCATCAACGATTGGCTGTTTAATATTTTCTGTTTAACGGCCACGTATGAGTGAGAAAAATCAGCTGAATCTAATTTCCAAATAATCCAATAACCAAATTTAATGTCTGTTATTGTTATCACAACACATCAGTGACGTGGAAATTTTATTCATTTTAAGATTTGCTGCTATTGTCATTATTCTAATGTGCTTCATTAGGATGACTGAATAAAATATAGACTTATTGATTAGAAATTTATTTAGTTTAGTATGTTAATCGAGTAATAGGCAACTTTTTTTTTCTTTGGAATAAACAAAATTAGTCGTTAGATTAATCGACTTGAAAAATAATCGATATGTACAACTAGTGACTTTGCTGTTGTAAATATTAATATTGCTGCTCTAGAAACAAAAGTTAAAATATTCAATTCTAATCCTATAATTAAAGGAGACCTTTTAAACTGCTTTTCTAGTCCTATATTTTAGTTCTGTGACTCCTGTATTTCAGCTTTGCATGATTCAAGTAAAAAAAAGATTCTTCGTTTAGGGCTTCATTTCAGCCTCTGTCTGAACAAGCTGTAGATGCTCCTGTCTCTTTAAGGCCTCCCCTTCTCAAACCCCACTGTCTTCTGATTGGCCAAGACCTGAAGCATGTTACCAGGCTGTTGTTGTTGCTGTGCGGAACAGGCAGACTGAGTGTCGCCATGCCGTTAGTGTGGGAGCACATGACCATATATGGAACACCGGCTCAGTCTGGCTCGGTAATAAGTAGAACGGAGCTGTTGGTTGAAAAAGCAGTTCAAAATAGAGCGTTCAGAACAGGAGGAACCCTGAGGTTATTGCTCACAGGGATTTCAGCTGTTCCATGTGCAGTTTCACATTTCTTGGGTGACACAGCTGCTGTCAGCTCATGTAGTGTGTGTGTGTGTGTGTGTGTGTGTGTGTGTGTGTGTGACCCCTGTCAATAAACAGTCAGGTAGTGTGAACGCCACATTGACTTCAAGACCCCATCTCTAGACCGCAAGTTGTGTAGGCTATACAGCAAGGCTATCGGCTGACGCTAAAAGTTGTGTACTGTAGTCTGTTTTACGGCTTCTGACCACTCTCATGCGGTAGAGAACCAAGGCAAGAAAAGGGGGTTTCTGCCTTTTGATGTGTGCAGGACTGCAGGGAAAGGCTGGGTTTTTTGCTTAACCCTTTTGTCCTCCTGGAAATGTCAGCAAGTGACACCTTTACAGCGAAAGTGGTCAGAGATGGTCCCATAACAAACATTTGAAGTTTGGTATGTGTGCTTGATTTTGATCTCATCATCTGTTGGCTCTGACACAGAAGGTAACTTTTGTTTCTCCTTGTCCTGTAGTTTTTCCCTTCTGACAATGTTGTGTCCAGTCTGTGTTTGTCACTTTAGCGTGAGAGTCAATCTTAATCCACTTAAAGATAATTTCATTTGGTTGTCCACTTGGAAGTATCCAAAATGCAGGTTCTTCCGTCACAGTTTGGAACTCACGGAGCAATACAGCTTCCCTGATGGCGAAAAGAACCGCGCCAACATGGCGGCATGTCTCCTAATCCTACCATGCTGGTGCAGTGTACAGCCAAGATAATGCCATCATTTTTATTATAATGAAAAACTGGAACTTTTTGGGGGGAGAACTTTAACTGGATTGTATTGCACTTGTAAGACGGTCTCTAACTCCGCCTGTACTAAGAGGCGCGTTGGTCACTTCTTTGCATTGCAAACTGCATTGTCATTTTGATTTTCTGGTGATCAAAACTGTGTGAAACGTCTGTCTAAATCACCTCCAACTGGGATAAATCTGAGCAGCTGCACTTTCCACGTGTTGGATCTCCGGTACCTAGCAAAACCAGTATCGACATGTTATCAGAACTTTGGGGTCGACTTTGTACTAAAGTATGAGATTTTGTAAAATTCCTAGCCAGGGGTAGGCTGGGGAGTGGGAGACGCCTTTGGTCCAACCTGGGTTGGTTTGACTCTACGCCCCCCCCCCCCCCCCCCCCCCCCTCTCCCCCAGGAGATGCTGGGGCTAGTTATCGTTTCCAGGTCAGTTGCACTCAGACCGGTCCCCACACTTTCTATTCCAATATATATTAATGTACATCTGTCATTGGTTCCATGAAAAACGAGAGGAAAAAAGTTTGATTAAATTCTGACTATGGGATTTTTAAGGCTAATGCTAATTTTAATATTTGTGGAATTTAAAACCCATTGTAACATTAAACATACTTTTGTGGACCCCTGCAGTTGGTTGTCACAGGTCGTAATGCATAAGGCAAACTTGAACATTGTGGGTTTTGTACCACAGATATGCTCTAAATGTCATTTATGGTTCTAGATAGCTCGCTCCACCATGACCTCTCACTCGCTGTCTCTCTGTCTGTTGCTATAGAAACGGAGAGGAAGAGAGGGACTCAAACATCACCGCTGTCAGCACTGTGACAAATCCTTCACACGATCTGAACATTTAAAGATTCATCAGAGACGGCACACTGGAGAGAAACCATACAGATGTGACCAGTGTGGGAAAGCTTTTAGTGCATCAGATCACTTAAAAAGGCACCTACGTGTTCACACTGGAGAGAAACCTTACAGCTGCGACCGATGTGGGAAAGCTTTCAGGACATCAGGTGAACTAAAAGTCCATCTACGTGTTCACACTGGAGAAAAGCCGTACAGCTGTGACATGTGTGGGGAAGCGTTTACTCAGTTAGGTAACTTAAAAACGCATGAATATCTGCACACTGGAAAGAAACCGTACAGCTGTGACCAGTGTGGGAAAGCTTTCACTACATCAGGTGAACTAAAAAGGCACCAGCTTGTTCACGCTGGAGAGAAACCGTACAGCTGTGACCAATGTGGGAAAGCTTTCACTACATCAGGTGAACTAAAAAGGCACCAGCTTGTTCATACTGGAGAGAAACCGTACAGCTGTGACCAATGTGAGAAAGTTTTCACTACATCAGGTCACCTAAAGTTGCACCTACGTGTTCACACTGGAGAGAAACCACACCCCTGTAATATGTGTTGGAAAGCTTTCACTACATCAGGTAACCTAAAGTTGCACCTACGTGTTCACACTGGGGAGAAACCGTACAGCTGTGACCAGTGTGGGAAAGCTTTCAGGACATCAAGTGAACTAAAAGTCCACCGACGCGTTCACACTGGAGAGAAACCATATTGGTGTGACCAGTGTGGGAAAATGTTCACTACATCAGGTCACCTGAAGTTGCACCAACGTGTTCACTGGCGAGAAACCGTACAGATGTGACCAATATGGGAACATTTTTAGTAACAATTGTTCACCTAAAAAACATAAATGCATTTACAATGCATTGTTCTAAAGTGTTTTAGAGCACAGCTAACTGTTTCCGTGTGATGGAGTGGTGTCATTCGATGACAGTGGAGGAACTTGGATTTGTTTAGAGAGTATCCACGCACCCGAACTTTAAAATATTGCATTGTATTGTTGTGTATAGTTACGATTTTGTTTTCGATGACCATGGTTCATTTACTGAGTTGCCCTAATCATAGTCCATATTGTAGCATGAATGTTATGACCTTATTGATTACATCTCAATTATAACGTGATTATGGTGTTTTTGTGTTTTAAATGATAATGATTAATAAGCCAATGATAATACTATATGATATTCCCTCTGTATGTGTTATTCATTAGTATTTGCTGAGTAACTATGACTAAGCAGGTTTGTAAGAAACCCAGTACTGGAAAGTCACAAATAGATAAAAAGTTAATAAGGGACCAGGTGCAGCAGGTAAACAAGTGTTAGGCAGAGGAGCAAGGATGGTTGCGACTGAGTTTGCTGAAGTTACAAGGACAATAGCTTGTCAAGACTCCCCAGAATAACATATCAGAAAAACAGCCACTAGATGGCAGCAGAGAAGAAGAAATTCACCATCAGAACAAGCCACAAATGGGTGTGGTCAGTGAACGCAGAGGAGGAGTAGGAGTAGGATTGAGTAGAACGACTACTTGATAGGTGGAGACTGAGGAGAATATAAGGCGGTGTTCACTGACTGCGTATTGAGTTTCAACCTGTTTCCTGCCAGGATGTAACTCAGGTTTTTTACTGGAATAAAAAAGTCTATTGCACTGATTTCCAGCAGACTATAGAGACGTTGTTGACTACATGTTATTTTATCATGAATATTTTGGCCAGCTATTGGCTATTTTGACTAGTTATTCAAAGTGGTGGACGACGTGGTTTGGGACGTTAGCTGGCCTTGGCCCAAACTTTGTCCCCCGTCAGTATTTATCCCACCAAAGAAGTGTTGCAAAGATTTAAATGTAAAATTGATTATAACTGTGATTTTTGCAATTTAAAAAGAAACTGTATTTCATTTTTTATACCACTCTGGATTCTGGAAAGATTTGGAACATTTTATCAACAGAAAACAGGTAAGAGTACATTAATTAATGTATTTGATGTCATGTTATATTTTGTACTTCATGGTCCAGACAATATTAACTATTGTGCAGCTCCTCATCATACTTGGAAAATTCCACATATACAAATCAAAATGGACTGGATCCAAACCCTGCTTCGATTTACAGTTGAACTGAAACACTACTGCACCTCCAATAGAAAAAAATTATAAAGCAATAAAATGTCTTAATATTCTATAAGAACTGAATTTAATTTGAGCTTCTGGTAATGTAAAATGTAATTGATTATCTGTGTCTTTTGAGCTATGCATCAATAAAAATTTTTATCAAAAAGTAACTACGCACCCAAATTCTGCTAGCGCCCTCCCAGCATATTTAAAAGATGCAGCAGCGCTCTCCTCGCGGGAGTTTTATCACTGGACAACTGCCAAGTGTTCACACACAACATGATAATGCGAGTAAACACAACTCGCCATTACTACAGCTGTATGAAACATTTAGCTGTGATTAAATAGCAATAAACGGATCACACCGATCCAGAAATAACTACAACATAATGCCGTTTTGTCAAACATATGAATTCATGCTTTTTCAGGTCTGTCAGCAAAACAGCAGGACAACAACTTCTAAAATATTTGTTTTCTGAATTGGAGTTCGGATCGATCATGCTATGCTAACTTTTTCACAGTAAAGTACAACGATAGCTGGAACAAAGTAAGACATGTTTTCTGAACTCATTAGGTAGTTTAACTTCCTCGCTTTCTTTTCTCCAGGTAATGTCCAGTTTTGTCCAGTTTTTATATAAATATGAAGTCAGTAGTCCAACAGAGCTCTGGGTGCCAACCGACGCTAACAACAAAAGTGAAACTGGATGTGCATGGAAGCTAGCTGCCAAGAAATGCGAGTGTTGTAATCCCAAAAACCTAATTTAATAAAAACAGTTAACTTTGAGCTTCTCCCGCGAGTGAACAGCCTAGTTGTCAGAGCATAATACAGGCCAACTACGGGTGTTTGTGTTCAAAAACTGCGTCGCTGCTCCCCATACACTTCCCTGTTCTTTAGCAGCTCTCCGTCGGCCAGCGGATTGTCATTAAACCGCTCGCCAGATCCTCTCCAAACATTGATAATGCCTCAACCGCCTCAAATAAATCAGGGTGGGAAACACCTACTGTAGAGGTTATCCAGCCTGATTTTTGCCTTTCATTAAGGCGAGGGTGTCAGCATCTGTGACTGAAGTAAAATTAATTAATGATTTTGCTGAAGGTTGCAGTACATAACGTGAGGCTACACGCTGCAACAGCTCGCATGAGTCTCAGTTATTGATGACTGTATAAGACATAAGCATATTAGCAAGTTATGGCATAAGAGAGAAAAGGCTTAATAGCCAATGGTAACTTACATGGTCATCAACATCCTTTATGCGTCATGGTCTACGATGTCTTTTTTTTAATATATATTATTATTTCAACAACCCGAAACATGGCTGCCACTGAAATACTTCCAGGTCACTGCACTCAGTTAGAAACCTTCCTAAGCAATGCAGCCTAAAAGTTGACGAATGCCCAAAAGCCAAAAATATTCAGACTTACAAAACTGTGCGTGCGCATACTACACAAGTTCCCTTTATAAATAAACTTGAAATGTGGCGCATGTGAGGGACCCTTCAAACGCCCATAGTTGCCTACAATTGGTCAGTGAAACACCGCTCATTAATATTAATATGTCCTGACTGCAGGAAGAAAAGGAGGCAAAATCTGTGACACTGACGTCCCTTTTAAAACTTGTGCATCGGTGGAAATGGGGCCACCGAAGCTCCACCCCTTTATAACCGATCTTGATTAGTTACGCCACAAGAACAAGTTTCTTCCCGATGGCAGGGGGCTTCCACTGTCACTGACTCTCATGCCCCCATCCACAAACACACTCCTGACCCCAGACTTTACAATAACGCTCAATTGTGCTTTACGCTCATGTTGTGAACTTTTGCACATATTTGTCAGCTTTGTATTATTGTAGTTTTTGTATAGTTGTACATTTTTTGATCTCCTTTTTATATATTAATATTTCTATGTATGTTCATGTGTACTGTGAGCTCCAATTCATACCAAGGCAAATTCTTCGTATTTGAAAATGTACCTGGCAATAAACCCAATTCTGATTCTGGTATCGCGTAACATGAAGACTTCAGTCTCTCTTCAGGTAGGACTCTTATATCACAAAACTTGTCTTTGTAAAGAGAGAAACTGACAGGATAAAGTCGCTAACCTGCCTGTCAGCTCGCTCTGTTTCAGTGCATTTACCACAAATACAAGGTCCCTGTTTTCTACACTGTTAACTTGACAGTCCCCACATGTTACAGTGCAGCGGAAACGTCAGATTCTATTTTCTCTGGGGGGGAGAGGGTAGTTCGTCCAAAAGTTGGCCGCTGTATTTAAACCCTACGTGGGTTAGGGAGCTCGATTTGGCTGTGAGGGCGACTCCGACCAGAGTTCACTCCATGTCGGAGTGGAGGCTGCGACGGTCTAGTTTCGGAAAAGGCCCTAAAAGTCTCCAAAAAGGACATGTTTCAGTCCAGATCCCAGACTGGATCAACATGTGACATCACGCTGACCTCACTCTGACATCACTGATCAGTAGTAATCTATAGTGAGTGTTTAGACTGGGTGTGAGAGTCAGTAAGAGTGAAGAAGAAGCTGTCAAGGCATCTGCTTGTTATCATCTGTCCTCCAGCAGCTTCAGGGTCAGACTGAGGTCTCTAGTTCTCAGCAGGTCTTCCTTCATCTCTGTGTGGTCTCTGTAAAACTGGTCCTATTGGTCAGAATGATCAGAGCCGTTCTGATACACGTGGACCGTCTTTATGGTTTCAGCTCCACTCTGATGTCCT